CTTTCAGGCCCTCAGCAGTTGAGCACAAACCTTTCGTGCCCCCTGGGGCCTCAGTAGCTGTGCATAACCCAGCGGGTGTGGCAGGTGCCAGGAAGACTTGGCTTTCTGGATGGCGCAAGGTAAATTTCATGTAATTTTCACCTGTCTTGAAATATCCTTTTTACTTTTTTCTTGTAACCATTTAGAAATTGTAAACTTGTAGAAACAACCCAGGTGTCCCTCAGCAGGTGAGTAGGTAACGCGGTGTGACCCATCCTCACCTGAGACTATTGTTTGACCACGCGGTGTGACCCATCCTCACCTGAGACTATTGTTTGACCACGCGGAAGAATGACTCTCACTTCACGGGGGCGGGGATCACCAGTGTAACAGTGTAAGACCACCTGTGAGGAGGAGGGGACATGCCCCAACCTTCTCCCCAGGTCTGACACCGCCCCCCTCAGCACTCCCTGTTGTCTGCTGCGTTCTACACATGATCACACAGCACTCCCAGACTCCCAGGGGTCCATTAGGGAAGTTAACAGATTACAGTTCAGGATCAGAAATGTTTAACGTACAGTTCCTTGGTCAGGACAACCTCTTCCCAGCCATGCCTGCTGGCAAGGGCTTCTTCCTCTCCAGTCCCGAGCTTCTCAAGCATGTGCCCCTTGGCCTCTTCTGGCCTGCTCAGGCAGTGCCACAAAGCTCCTCTGCTCTGTTCATACATGCTCCAAAGGACACTCAACTCAGCCGGGAAAGCCTTGGCACAAAGGCTTCCCATCTCCCCCGATTACGTGCCCCCGCAAGCCTTCTGCCCCAAAGCACTCGGCTCTTGCTCCGTGGGCCGGGAAGACCTCTCTCGCTCCTTCCTCCTGGTTCTGTGCAGGGAGCTAAGGGCCCACAAGACAAGCTTCACTGCTGGCTCTTCTGTCGCTGTGGTAGTGAGATGGCTCATTTTGAACCTGGTGGGATAACAAAACGAACCGGTCCCCTCATTAGAGTTCCTTAGACCTCATTTGCATGTTCCCACCCAAGTGTCAAGTAGCTTATTCGCATTACCAACAAGCTACCCAGTCCCTGCACGGGTGGGCCTCAAACACCTCACATTTGCCTCACTCTACCTGGCACTGCCAGGTAAGCATTGGAGTGCGGACCTCAAGGTCAGTGGTTCAAACCCACCAACTGCTCCCCAGGAGCAAGATGAGACTAATTGCTCCTATAAAGATGTACAGCCTCGGGACCCCCTAGCTGGTCGACAGGAGCTGGAATCGACTCGGTTGCAGTGGGTTTGGGTCTGCGAACCCATTCACTCAATGGGCTCAAACATAAGCATGGTAAGGATGGCGCAGGGCCGGGCAGTGTTTCCTGATGCCTTAGAATCCGCTCAAAGGCACCTCATGCCACCAGCAACCCCCAGCCATTTGGTAGGAACTGCAAAGACTACCCAAGTGCTTCGCTGTGCCGATACCTATTGCACCATGGCTGGGTCGTGGAGACGTGCTGAATGAGAGGCGTCAGACACAGACAGCGCTGTGTTGTACGATCCCTCTGGTGTGAAATATTCCGTACAAACAAATGCACTGTCTGGAGTTGATTCGTGGCGTCCAGGGCAGGAGGGAGGGGGAAGGGCATGTCCGTGCTTAGGGGTCGTGGATCTTTTTCTTCAACGGAGGGTGAAGAGGAGAAATGGAAGTGGGTGGATAACAGCGATGATTGCGGTTAACGTCACTGAGCAGTCCACGTGAAAATGGTTAGAATGGCAATTTAAACGAGAGCGAGCTGATGATGTACATATGTAGTGTTTCTTTAATACACTTCCGGTTTTGTTTGATAAATCTGTGCGTTTCTTGATCATTCCTTTTTCAAAAAGACGTGTGGTGGATGTGGACACAGCATGCTGACTAAGGCACCTGACCCCAGCCTCCTGTCGGTGTGGGAGTCGAGTGAGGAAGACCGGAGAGGGCTCGGTGCATTTGCATTATGGTGCCGGTGAGGACTCTTGGAGGTACCGTGGACTGCTCAAAGGACATCTCTCTCAGAAGAAGTACAGCCAGAGTGCTCCCTAGGGGCAAGGATGGTGAGAGGTGGTCTCACGCACGTGTTTTGGCCGTGCTGTCAGGAGCGAGCGGTCTCTGGAGAAGGACATCGTGCCCGGTAGAGGAGAGGGGTCGCGAGGAAGAGGAAGGGCCTGGACAAAGCTGCATTGACACCGCGGCTCGGCTTGGACGGTGGGCTCACACATAGGAACAGCCGGGAGGAGGTGCAAGGCTGGCCTGGTGTTTTCGTTCTGTTTGCCTGGGGTCAGTGCTCCGAGTCGGCCCAGCACAACCCACTGACACATGCCACAGCTGGGGGAACGTGCCGAGCCAGTCAGTCAGTAGCCGAAGAACAAGCCCTGGATGATCTCACCTCCATGAATGAAGGCAATGCCACACTCAAACGCTCTGCCCCTGAGTTGATCCCAGCTCTCAGTGGCCCTGAGGACAGGCTGGAATGGCGCCTGTGGGTTTCCGGGGCTGACGGTCTTTACGGGAGCAGCCGGTGATTTTGAGCTACTGACTTGGCGGTTAGCAGGCATCAACGGAGAACCCACTACAACCCCGGGGCTCCTTAAGTAAATACCAGAGAGCTTCAAAATATTGGCGGAAACACTGAATTTGACGATAGTGGAATTTTTCCACACTCTTTGAAGGCCCCTGATGTTTAGAAATCAGAGATGATTAGTGGTTCACAGGGGTGAAAAAAGTGTGAGGAGGAGAGTGCTGTTTGAATGGACTGGAGAGGAGTGTGAATTAGCTCCTTTAATTCTTGTCCCCTCCCCCGTTGTATATGGCTCCCTCCTCCTCCAAGGGGGCAGATGGGTGATGTGTCAGGCTGCTCATCACAAGGCCAGCAGTTCGAAACCACCAACCACTCCATGGGAGAGAGATGAGGCTCTCTGCGCTGGTAAAGAGTTACCGTCTTTGGAAACCCACAAGGCGGTTCAGCCCAGCCCTATGGAAGCAACTAGGAGTCGGCATTGATCGGAAGGCAGTCCGTTTGGGTTCTTTTGTTTTGTTAAGAGTTCTCTATCCGGCTCATTTCATTCTTATAGCCACCCTGTGAGGTGAGTATTTTTGTCTCCCCATTTATAGAGGAGGCCATGGAAGCTGAGACT